CCCTGGTTGATGTTTATTTACGTGTCCTGAGCAGTGCAACAAAACATTTGCATGAATGTTTATATTTGTTGGCATTCGCAAATTCGAAGGCGTATATGTAGTTTTAACTGATAGTGTAGATATTGAAATGACGTTGTTGTTGTGCCCCATTGTAGGACTTTTTGGCTCCACTGGTTGTTCCCCATCGATTCATCTCCTTCACCCTCTACTGTGCTTGTATTGTCGCCTTCGTGCTGAATCTCAAACGCAAGCATTACCTTAAACAGTTCACTCTCGTAAGTTGTCATTTTGTTATACAAATTTCGTTGTCTTCTTACTCTATAATGATCGGCGCAGTTTGGAGTAGTCTTTGCCAAGACCAAAAGGAGTGGAGTCAGTGATTATGAGGAGAATACTGGCATCAGATCAGGAACGATATCTGTCGTGCTGTTTTGTGTGTGTGGGTGGGCGGAGAGGACTCAATGGGAGAACAGATTCGTAGAAGTTTCTTAAGGATGGTCTTCGAAATAAATCTTCTTTTGAAGTTCCATATGGCTAAGAATAGTCGTTTTTCTTTGCCAAGTTTCTCTTTTCAACCTAGTTCAAGCCGACATAAGGAGTTCTATTAGGTTGGCAACTAAGTCATTGCCGATTTCAAATAAGAAGGCAAATTCGGAATTTTGTTTAAAAATATAACTTTATTCAATTAGATATTGGCCGTTCTTGTCGATGACCTTTTTCCATCGTTCTGGCAGAGTAAAAATTCCCCGTTCGTAAAATGTCTGGTCTTTGCTATTAAAAAACTGAATTAGGTGTGATCCGACATCATCCGCGTTGTTAAAAATTTTACCATTTAAAGAGTTTTGCATGGAATGAAACAAATGTTAATCCGAAGGCGCAAGGTCAGGGCTATATGGTGGGTGTGACAAAACATCCCAACCCAGTTCCAATAATTTTTGCCGAGTAACCAAAGATGTGTGGGGTCTTGCGTTATCATGATGGAAAACAACACCCTTCCGATTTGATAATGCCGGCCGCTTATCTTCAATTGCACCCTTCAGTTTTTCGAGTTGTTCAACATACACATTTGAATTTATCGTTTGGTTCTGCGGCATGAGTTCAAAATACAAAATTCCTTTGTGATCCCATCACCAGACTGATAGCATAATCTTTTTTTGGTGAATCTCTGCTTTTGATACTGTTTGGGCTGGTTGATCTTGCCTCACCCATGATCTCTTGCGAGTAACATTGTTATAAACTATCCACTTTTCGTCGCCAGTAACTAGGTTCTTCAGAAATGGATCATTCTCATTGCGTTTCAGTAGCGGGGAATCACAGATGCTAATCCGTTGCGTCAAATGAATTTCCTTTAACTGGTGAGGGATCCATAAATCAAGTTTCTTGACATAACCAAGGGTTTTTCATTTTTTCAATGCATGTATGCGACACATTGAGCTTCTCTGCAATATCTCGTGTTGTGCTCTGACGATTTGAATCGATAATGGCCTTGATATGGGTTTCATCCACTTCGACTGGGCGGCCAGATCGTTGTGAATTTTTCAGTAAAAAAAATCACCGGAACGAAATCTTTCAAACCAATTTCGACACTGCCTTTCTTTTAAGGCTTTATCTCCATATACGGCACATAACTTCTTTTGTGCTTGCGATGCGTTCTTGCCTTTTCGGAAGTAATACAATAAAATGTGTCGGAAGTGCACGTCCCCTTCTTTCATTTTTAAATTGGGATAAAAAC